CTGTATCTTTGTTAATAATTGTCCGATTTTTACGATTATTTTGTTTGTTGTGTAGATAATTTAGTAATCGTTCTGATTATCATGGGTACAATCAAGAAAGCAATGCATACTTTTTGAGTTATTCGCAAATAAAGTTTATTTTCCTTCATAATTTTTTTCCAGAAATTTGGGGGGATAGGACTATTTTTCGTATGTGAAGGAGAAGAATATCTTAACAATGAGTGGTCAATCATTGGAGTCGATGCAGAATTGATGAAGTTATGGCGTACCTACAAAAAAACACCTTTTAGAAATAATATATAGGATAGAGTAACTGACTACATATCGACAGCACTAGAGCGAAAACTATATGCAACCGGAGTATTTCTGGATGTCGCCCAAGCGTTTGACAAAGTATGGCATCAGGAGCTTCTCTTCAAGCTTAAGACCATACTTCCACATACTTACTACTTAATTCTCCATTCTTTTCTCTCAGATAGATTTTTCTCCGTTCGACATGGTTAAGGTCTATCCTCAATTCGATCAGTTTTAGCTGGCGTACCTCAGGGATCAATCCTAGCCCCACTACTGTACATCATATACACACACGACATTCCTCAAAGTATCCACACTCTTACAGCAACCTACGCAGACGACACTGCTATCATTACCAGGCACGACAATCCTACAGAAGCATCACTTAACTTACAACATCACTTACAGATTATACTCGATTGGTGTAAACTTTGGAAAACTCAAAATAAATTATCAAAAGTCTCAGCACATCACATTTACTCTAAGACCAGAAACATGCCCTCCTGTATACTTAGACAATGTACCGATTCCACAAACAGACAGAGTACAATACTTAGGCCTTACGTTCGATAGGAGAATGACATGGGGTCCACATGTGAAGAAAAAACGAATCACATTAAATCTAAGACTAAAATTGTTACATTCACTGTTAAGACGACATTCCAAATTAAAAGCAAGAGAGGAACTAAGTATTTACACATATCTTTTAAAACCTCTTTGGACTTACGGACTACAAATATACGGAATTGCAAAACCAACTCACATAAAAAAACTTCAAACTTTTCAGTCGAAGATACTACGACTAATCACTCAAGCACCATTGGTACGTAAACAATCACACTTTACACACCGACTTACACGTTCCGACAGTCAACGAACACATACGAACGTACTACAAACGATTTCATAACATGTTAAACGGGCACTCCAACTAGCTGGTAAAAGAAATGGCCACAACTTGTATGCCCGATAACTCCAGAAGACGACTGAAAAGGGTCTGGATGAGGGATCTACTTAAATAATGTTTTAATAAATAAAAGCCATGGAAGGGATACCGCTGGGTATTGCTATTCCTCATGCCTATCAAGCCTTTTTATTTACTTTTTATTATTATTATTATTTTTTCTCTCATTACTACGCCAGCACATCTGCTGATTGTCAATCATAATTGACAGGTGCGGATAGATATATGTAAGTCAAAAAAAAAAAAAAAAAAAAAAAAATATATATATATATAGAGGATAGAAGAGCTGTGGTAAGATAGTCGTCATGGCAACGACTTCACTTTTCATTATAATGTTTTTGCCTGCCGTTAACTAAAACATTCATAACTTATCAGGATTTTATCCTAATTCAATGTTTCTACAATCGTTGGGAAGCTGAATTATCGGTCTTCAAGACCGTATAAATAACCTTTTGATTTAAAACGTCTATAAAGAGTAAAATAAATAAAACATCCTAATAGGTTTTTATTTTATAACTTGAGTTCTGAATTATTTAGGAAGGTAGAGTTTGTATAGTTTATAAGGCCATATATCCCTGCAAAATTTCTTGTGAATAGGTGGAAGAATATTGAAGTTATAACATTTTTTGTGATTTTCGAAATAAAATCAAAGAGGGGGGAAGCATTAGTTCAAATTTGTATAAAAAAAATATAAATATTTTTCGATGGCAATGAAAATTCATATTCGAGAGTCTTTCAATTTTTACGATTTTGGTTTTTTGTTTTGTAGGTAATTTATTAATCATTCTAATTATCATGGATACAATCCAGAAAACAATGCATACTTTTTGAGTTATTAGCAAATAAAGTTTCTTTTTCTTCATAACTTCTTTTCCAGAATTTCAGGGGATGGGACTATTTTTTGCATGCGAAGGAGAAGAATATCTTCAAAATGAGTGGTCTATAATTGGATTTGATAAAGAATCGACGAAGTTATGGCATACTGACAAAAAAACACCTTTTAGAAATAATATATAGGATACTGCCTCCTATAACACTGCCACTCTTATTGGGCAAACAAAAATTCGTGACAGTAAATTATTAATTAAATCTGTACTAGTACAACCCATGAAGGGTCTTGGGTTCAGTACTATTTAAGGAAAGCACTGTTTCTTGGTCAACAGTTGCGCAAGGAGTTGACCTGACCGAGATTACGCTCAACCGGCAGGTTTTCTCCCTTAATTAATTATTCTAATTAAGGGTACCCACTTTATAGAAGCTGGATGTGCCCCAGGAGGGTCTACATATCCAGGGTCGCTCCATGGCCAAATAAACATAATAAATAATTTTTCTGCCATGAGCCGGGATTCGAACCCGGGATCTTTAGCATTGGAAGTTCAGTACCCTACCACTGAGCTACCCCACTCCCATAAAATTATTAATTATAATTAAATAAATTTTTAAAATATACAGTAATAGAAGAAAATGGTTAGTGATGAAAGAAGTATAAATTTAACAGATTAGGCAGGTAGGAATAACCTATAATAAGTGCCAAAGGTGTACAGAAGAGGATTTCATGCTGCCATTGGGCTCCTCAATATTTTTGAGGAGGCATATTTTTACAGAATTATGAATTTTGGAGGGGAGAGGGAGGTGGCAAAGAGAGAGGAGTGACACGTTTTTAAGGAGTTATCAATATTTGGGAAAAAAACATATTTTGGTGGAGTTTCACTCTGAGGGATCTCTCGAACCAGAAAACATGGGAAAACGGCAGTGCTGCACAGCAAATGCAACTGTAAATAAACTTTTATTTTATAGTCAAAGGGTCAAGTTGATACAGGCGATAAGTGGTATTTGTAAAAAAAAAGTTTGATTTACATACATAAAGTTATTTTGTGATATATTTTTAATTTATTTTTATTAGCAAAGTCACTAATTCAGTCGTCAGACTCAATGTAAACATTTGGAAAAGCAACTGTTAATATTTTGTTTTATTTTCTGATAGAAGTGAGAGCAAAAGTAAACAAAATATAGATCTACCTTTGAAGCCATAAAAAAAAACAAAAAACACTCATTATTTTTAAAAAACCAAATCCAATTGAAATTATTGAAAATAACCTTCAATATATCAAAGTATTTACATGCTTGATAAATATCGAGTGATAATAGATACCACAAGTCGAAAAAAAAAACATTGTAGTGAATATCATTTCAATTTCTCTGAATTAAAAACTATTTAAAAAAAAGTTTCAGTCAATAAAAAAAAATTTAGGTAATAAAAATATTAAACTTAAAAATTTAAAGTAGACATGTGGAAATGAATTTGAGTGTTTTTAGTATAAGAAAAGATACTCTATAGAGAAAGAATTTGAAGTAATTTTGTTGGTAAGAGACAAAAGAATTCGCAACAACCGAAATTCAAGACCTAAAAATAAATTCTTGGAAGAAATTTAATGACAGCCTAACTTATGAGAAATTGATTAATTTAAGGATCAACTATGTTATTCAAAAACTTAGTTGGGTTTCAAAAAATACTACAGAGAAATATGAAAAAAAAAAGCCAGAATAAAATGGAATTTTTTAAAATAAATTTTTTTATTTTTAAAAATAAAAATTTGATGTAGTGTTTACTTCACTAAATATTTTCAGGATTTTTTATATAACCTTATCTACTGTAGCATGTAGGACCTTTTTCTTGTTTAACCCACTATTGGAAATTAAATATCAGTTTCTTTATATTATATTTTTTTCACTCTTACTATGCTTAACAATAAACTCTTGTAATGTTTAATTTTCTCTTACTTGTAATATAAATAAAATGTATTAAAAATCAATATTAATTCTTCAATTTTGTAAATAAACAATGACTGCTGAAAACATTTTTTAATGTTGTCAACATCGCTTCCATCAAAGGACGGCATAGATGTAATAAATAGATACAGCATGGGCAATACCATTTATTTGTCAAAAGGTTTTAAAAAACCCCAAATCAAATTCATAAAAAATAAATAAATAATAATTATAAAAAAAGAAGCTTCGCGATGATCTAACATCAAATCAATTTAACTTTTTTTTTGTCTTACATAACTTGTTATCAGTTTGTGATTAATGCCAGCTAGACTAATCAAATAAAATATCCCAAGAGTTTGTTCATTATTAAAACATATTTACTTTAAAAACTCTCTGGTTTTACCAATTTAATATTTTTATTAGTTGAAGAGTCACACGATAGTGTGAATTTTCTTCTATTTCTTCTAAACAACTTTTCATTTATTCATTATTTTTTTTTAATGATGCCCTATGGAAATGCTGTCAGGGGTTCCTCCCATTAACTATATCCTTAGCCAATGACATTCATTTCTATAATCGATGTTTCCAACTAATAATGGCAACATAGGCTGCTGTTACATCTCAGCTCTTTTTAGCTGCCGTCATTAGGTCAACTAGGTTTTTTGGGGCTGAAATGTTCCTCAAGTCCTAGTCAACATCATTTTTAGACCTTAGATAAAAGAAGAAGGCATGATCTAATATCTCATTCATGTTGAAGCAAGCTTGGAACAATTTTTTTTCAATGATATTCTACATATTGTTCAATCTATTTGCCATAAATTTACTATGAATAATTAATGAAAAGAAGCTTCTATCTTTTAACAAGTAAATATTGATAAATTTCAGTGGTCCTGATATTAATTATTGTTTTCCCATCAGTAATCATAAATAAGAATATAAATAATGTTCTTAATCACTTATATTTTAATTTCAGTACTTTATCCAGTTCTTCAGAAATATATTGAAGACTATGGAGGAGTGTGCGCAATTTACAGAACTGGACGGGTCTATGTCATGCTTTCTGAACCTGAAACTGTTGAGGTAGGCATTTTATTAAACAGTTTTACGTCTTTGCCAACACCTTTAAGTCATTAAGTATAATTTCTATTAATTTACCAGACACATTTTTTCAAAATTATCTTCAAGCTAGGAGTCAGACAAAGGCCTACAGAAAAAGGCTTGTAGATAAAAACATTATTCAAAAAGTTCTTTTTTGGTCTTCCGAAAATTTTCAATACTCAAATTCATTACTTAAACAAGGTGATGGAGTGTAAAGTATGTATTTGTATGATATCCATTCTTAAAAAAGAAGTTTTATAATCTTATTAACCAAAGTGTTGGTCTTAAATCACTGATTTAAGTTAAATAATATTTCTGCAGTCTAAATAGTTGCTTACTAAGAACTCTTTTTTACAAGACACAATAACTGTTGATGTAATAATTATGGTAATATTAATAATTAAATTTATCTATTTATTTACTTATAGATACATATGCCTAAGTAAATTACTGGTTGGTTTTGCCAGAGAACTGGTAAGTTACTACATTCATGTATTGATCCCAGAAAGTTATAAAGGCGATAAAAAAGAAAATTAATATTTTTTATGTTAATAAAGCAGTTATGGCAAACGTTTTATTTGAATTCTGAATTATTACTTGGAAATATTTTTTTCATATCATGGCTATAATTTATCTTGTTTTTCTGTCCTGAACATGATTGGTGTTATTTATTCACCAATATCTAAAACAGCTAATGCTTTGTGTATCGAATCATCCAATTTTATCCTAACAATTAATTTTATACATCTTTTAAAGATTTTTCTATTTTAAATAATATTTTTTATATTTTTCTGTACCTCCTGACTGAAACTAAAAACGTGATGTTTGTTTTCAAAAACAAAACAAAATCCAACTCGCAAGAGATGGAAGAATTTCTCTTTGAGCTTAGCGCCAAAAGTGTTCACTTGTTTGTATATTGTTGTTTGTATATGTTATAATATGTTGAATTATAACAAAATGAAAACAACAGTAGAACTAAATAATAAAGAAACTACCTCTCCACATCAGTTGCCAGACATAAAATAATTTATTTAAATAATGAAAGTAAAATTTATTTAACATATTTCATGTGAAAATTTTATGAATTTGTTTCCAACAATTTTGCCAAGCTTTAATAATAAGAGTATTTTTGTTCAATAATAGTATTTTTTGTGTTAACTTTCACAGCCAGTGCTCAGCAGTTATAACCATATTAAAAAAGGTGACTATGATTACGCATTTTTAAGACCATGGCTAAGAGATGGGCTTTTACTTAGTGATGGTAAGAGAAATTTTATTAACAGCTTATTTTATGAAAATAAAAACATCTTCGATTTATTGCAAAAAGTTACTAATTGTAAGTGCATTTTTGATATAGATCAACTTTCAAGTATGTTTTTGATGATGTTTATTTATCTATACAAAACACTGCCAGGGCATGAAAATTAAATAAACCTTTTTAATTATTTATCATTTATAAGTACACTAAGTACAAAATTTTCTGATTTCACAAAGGAAAAATTCATCAAAGTTATTAAATATTTGAGGCTTTGAAATGCCATATATGACTTTTTGAAATTAATAACCGATGATATGTATACTATAAAATAAACTATAAATATCAATGGATATATTCATAAAAAAAATAAAATAAAGAAAAATGACAAATGTTAGTTAATATCTTCATGTTAACTCCCTGAGTAACATTAATAAATTTAAAATGAGTGTTTGGTCTAATACTTAACGTCATCTTAGGCAGCAAATGGCGAAACAGAAGAAAACTTCTTACTCCTGCATTCCATTTCAAGATTTTGGAAGATGGAATGAAGTGTCTTACTGAAAAATCTGAAGAAATAACTGAAAAACTACTAGCAACAAAAGGAGAACCTACGGATCTGGAAGATATCATTCGTTCATCCACTCTTGGGGCTATTCTTGGTAAACCAATAAATTTTATTTATTTTTTATTATGTAGGTTTAATACTTTAAAATTTATCTAAACATTGAACTTTTTTTACTTCTAATATTCTTGGAATTATAAATATTTCCACTTAGATCCAACTAGCTGATTTACCCGTCATTGACGGGTGTATATTTAAAATTTGAGAACCTTTTTTTAAGATGGATTTTGTATTATGGGAGGGGGGATCCAAATTTAATTTCATATAATTGGGTGAGAGGAAGGGGTTGTTTTGAAATTTTTTATGACTGGGATTATTTATGTCAAGGTTTCAGTCATAGTCATAATAAAAACTTTGCTATTTGTTTAGGCTATTTGTTTAGGTGCCACACAACTAAACCGACCACCACTGATCCATTAAAATTTGTTAATTGTTTAATTTTCATTCATGATGAAGTGAGGAGATTGTGGAGTCAATTGAAATAATCAAAAAGAGTTTTAGTCTCTCCATTTCTTTAAACTCTGTCACCTACATCCGTAACAAATTAGAACTTGATCTGAATATTGTGGCGAGCAGGGTGAAATTTTTGGGAGTTGTTTTCCCCGCTCCGCTGAATCCTAAATATATATACTACAACATTTTTTAGGCTCGGGAAGTTGAATCGAATGACACCTTGAACAGGAAGACCTGACAAAGTTGAAAAATGTGTGTTTTAAGCAACAACACGTTACAGATGTTCGGTACTTTAGATTTTTTCCATTGAGTTGTGATGATTTTTTCCATCAATTGAATAGTACAACTTTTAAATGTGGCTCGCGGTAGAGTAGGTTGGGATGAGAATCAAAGTAAGTAACTCTCTAACCGGGATCTCTAGAAAAATTACTCAAGAATTCATAACTTTATTTCTATTCAATATTTTGTTTTCATTTAAAGCCTATATTTTAAGTCAAGCAAACCTAATATAATGTCAAATTTTCAAAAGTCTACCATTAGCCATTGCTGAGCTTACTCCTGACAAAATTTCGTTGAACAATGCGGAAATACATACAGACAAAAATGTGGATGTTCTAAATGTGGATTTGGTGTCTATAATGTATGAAACTGAAAGATATCCTGAAATAGGTTAATTCTACTCAATATACAGACAAAACCTTTATTTTATTTTTATAGATAATCAAAGGTAAGCGATAGGAATATATTAGATTTAAGGGTGAAATATTAGATTTGGTTGAATCTGTTTATGGTTATCATTGCTCATTATACTTCTCAATGATTTGGAATTCGTACTGAAAAATATGAATAGGACATGCAAAGCATAATGTATAAACCGTTTATAATAACCAGCAGTATACTGATTGTTCGGTAGTTTGAAGGGCTCCCTTCATTCAAAAACATTATATTAAGTATTGTTGTAAAGCAAAACAGTAAACAATAAAAAAGAATTTTATCAATGTTGGTATCTAAACTTTTTGTAATGATTTATTGAGAAAATAAATGTCTTATTTGATTGCTTGATATATATTTAAATTTGAATATCAAATTGTTGTAGCCCAACAAAATAAATTGTTTTATTTTATTATTATAGAACTATTTTTAATCTCTCCCAGGATTCTATTTTATTTTTATAAAGTAATATTTTATTTTTTTTACTTATAATGGATATAGTACTCAATAACCGCGCAACCACACCAGGAACGTCAAACCGGACAAATAAGTTCAAAATAAAATATTTCAAACTCAGAGAGCCAGAGGTGATACGGGCATATCAGGACTCGATTGAAGAAAAGGCGAATAGTGGAAGATACATTTGGGACAGTGACAACGTAGAAGAATCTTGGTCGGCAATCAAGATAATAATACTGGAGGCAGCGGAGATGACATGTGGAAAAAGCAAGCTGGGGCATAAATCAAAGAAAACTGCTTGATGGAATGAGGAAATTAAAGAGGAAATCAAACAGAAGAAAACCCTATGGAAGAGATACCTGCAAACCAAGTCAGATGCGGCATACTCCGTATACAAGGAGCAAAGATGGAAAGTGAAAGAGGCCGTGATGAGAGGAAAGAAAAAGTCCTGGGAAGAATTTGGAAAAAAGATGGAAACTAATTATAAGGAAAACCAGAAACTTTTCTACCGAAGCCTCAGGAGCATGAGGAAGCAGAAGGAACCGGTGCTGAAGCACATCTAGGACAAAAATGAAGACATCATGAGTAGGCCAGAAAACATTATGGATAGATGGGCGGAATATTTTAAGGAATTACTCACATATCAAGAGCAGGAAATGGAAGCGAAATAACAGTCTGGTAGTACAGAAGACACCTGGGAAGAAGACGATTTCATCGGAGAAGAAGAAGTTACCAAGGCCATAAACTCATTAAAGCTGGGAAAAGTGGCTGGTATAGACGGAATTGCGCCAGAAATGCTGAAAAGCATGGGTTTAAAAGGAGTTGAAATGTTGCAGCACCTCCTTAACGTAGTTTGGAAAAATAAAGTTATCCCAAAGGACTGGGAAGTCTCCATCATAATCCCGATTTTAAAGAAAGGAGATAATCATGAATGTCGGAACCATCGAGGCATATCCCTACTCTGCATCCCCTACAAAGTTTATTGTAAGGTGCTCGAAAAGCGGCTGAGAAGCCTCATAGAACAAAAGATAGGAGAAGAACAATATGCCTTCCGGCCTAACAAAAGTACACAGGACCTGATATTCACGATGAGACAAATATCCGAGAAGATTATAGAAAAGAGCAGAGAGGTCTTCGCCTGTTTTGTAGACCTAAATAAAGCGTTTGACAGGGTGCAGAAGGCAGACATATCAAGAGCATTGGAGGAGTGTGGCGTTCATATAGGATTGAAAAAAGCCATCCTAAGTATATATGAAACACAGAGAAATGTAGTTAGGATGTGCAACCATACATCAAAAGAATTCACAACAGATCAAGGAATCAAACAGGGATGCAGCCTTAGCCCCCTCTTGTTTATACTAGTGCTGGACTCTGCCCTAAAACAAGCAAAACAGAAAATGAGGCCATACAACCTCGGATATAGGAACCTACAGAGCGTCCAGTATACAGTGCTTGCTTTTGCTGACGATATGGTGGTGTTCGGAAATGACTGCCATAATCTGCAGTTTAACCTCAAGATCCTTCAAGCTGAGATGAGAAATATATACATGGAAATTAACATCTCGAAAACAAAATTTATGAGGATTGGGAGAAGAAGGGACCGAGGAGACCGGATTGTTCGGCTGGGTGGAATCCGCCTGGAAGAAGTTAAGGATTTTAAATACCTGGGCGCTCACCTTAACGAGTTCGAATGGGTGGATGGAGAAATTAAAGAGAGAATTAAGATGGCAGGAAGATGCTTTTACTCCCTCAAGTCAGGCTTCTTGGACAAAAAGGAAGTCTCAAAGACCACTAAGAAGATTGTCTTTAAGAATACTTTCCTCCCTATATTGACGTATGCAAGCGAGTCTTGGACCCTCACTGCCAAGCACAAAAGCCAAATCCAAGCTATGGAAATGCGCTATCTAAGGAAAAAAGAGGGCTAAAACAAGAAGAGATCGCTTTAGGAATGTGACCATACAAGGTAATATGGACCTGAGGCCTGCAGAGGAGGTAATCCAAGAAAACCAACTTAGGTGGTTTGGACATATCTCGCGAATGGCTGAAAACAGAATTGCCAGGGCTACCTACGAGGTCAAAGTGGAGGGAAGGAGGCCACAGGGAAGACCAAGAAAAAGATGGGTAGAAGGAGTTAAAGAAGCCTTTGACAGGAGAGGAATGGACTGGAGTAGGAGAAGAAAGCTGGCACAGGATAGAGATTTGTGGATCAGGCTCTATAAGAAGGAACCTCACACTGCTCAGCAGTAACAGAGGACTGGATTAAGCTAAGCTATTTTTTAGGTTTATGCCACAATTATAAGAGAGATCCTCTAGTTGGGTGTATAATTTAGCCAATTTATTGTAGTAAATAGTATTTAACATAAAATCTTTTCTGATAGAATGGTAAAGCAAAATATAGGAATTAATTTGCTATGATTTTTATATTTACATTGTTTGTCAAAATTATTTACCCAAGTGCACAATGTTCAAATTTGATAAAGGAAAAAGTCATCAAACTGGTTAATGATTTAATTAAGTAAAATGTCACTTAATGAATTTTCACTACATATTGATGGTATGTTTTTTTAATGATTTCATTAAGAAAATATCTCTGCCCATTAGAGTTTTTATAAAACAGTTTCTGAATACTTCAAGAACATGTTTATTTCCTGAGAGTGGTCATTTTGCATTATCTATGTTTGGCTTTTTTCAGAGACTGCAATGGGTGTACCATCAAGTGATGCAAATGGGTATCAGCAACATCAGCAAGAATATCAGAGTAAAATAAAGGGGTACGTCTATAGTAATTTTTTTTTTACATTAGATTCAAAATTCAATTAAAAACATTGATTGATATATTCAGCAGATGCTAAGCACCATTTGGTCAGCAACATTTGGGCAATAATTGAAAATATAACAACAATTGAAATACATTTGGTTGGGCACGTGCAAAACATATTACAGATTATTTATCTCAATTAACATTGAACATCAATATAAAATATTCAAATGTGCTTAATTTCAAAAAAATACTTATTCTATCATTATATAAACAAATTCATTATTATTGGTTGGTATTGGAAAATAAAATATAATAAAAAGGTAACCTAATTGCTTAATTTATGAACATTTAAATCCTATGCATAAAACTGCCCAAGAATTGATGTGACTGAGAGATAGACAAATCATACCAACTCCATTAGATATAACTTTGCATTTACATGTATGATTATCATACAATTTTGATGGTACTAAATAATTCTTAACAATATTGCTGTTTGATTTAAATCTACATTTAATATAACAGAAATGTGATTTATTTTATTCTATTCGCAATTCTATCTTATTGTATTTTTGTTGCTCTATTTTCAATCATCATTGTCTCAAAAGTAATTTTAGTTTTGGTTGACATTATCTCACTATTTTACAATTATTATTGATTTAATAACTGATAAAATATATAAATAATAAATAAAATAAAAAAAAAAAGGTTTAGTTTTTACATAATTAGGAGTCTAATGTTATGAAAATGATTCTTTTAGTTTACAATTATCCAAAAGTAAACAAATTATACATAAAGTAAATGGAAAACAGAATTCACATGTCAAGTTTAGTAACCCCCATTACATAATTTTATATTTTTTTTTATTTTGGAATGGCACGCATAAAATTGATGGCAACACAAAATAATTCATTTTGAATTTATACTAAACTAAACTAGAAAAAGCTGGATTTGCAGTAGCAAAATTTAAAAATTAAATTTACTTAAATTTTATTATTTATTTAATGAAATTTATATCTGTATAAACAATACAACTAGTGAAAATGCATACATTAGAAATCATGACATGGACAGACTTGAAGAGATACTTCCCAGTGGTAGCACTCTCTATTTAATTCTAGGTGAGAATATCACGAGGCAATCTTCTTTTCAGACGCCTAGGGGGATTATCAGGAATCGAGGAAAAAGCACAGCTGGAAACAAGTGGATTCGGATGGGACTGGAGTTTATCATGAAAGGATAGGTATCTGGCTCAGGCTAAATCAGCGGCATATGGGACATTAAGGTCTTTATGAATGGTTTTATTTGTGACAAAATATGGGGTATTACTATGAGACGTTTATTCAAGTGGAGTTCTAGGTAGCGAATTTGTCCAACAGGAACAAGTAGAATATTATTGAAGGATATTGTAGGACAAGAAGTTGTAGGATTACGACGAAGGCTGAAGGTAATTTGATGGGATTTATTGGAATTTATTTTTATTCTCCAATTATGACACCATTCTTCAAGGTTTGTGATATGTGATTGGAGGGTTTGGGATGCAATTAAAGGGTCATTATTAACAGATAGGATACAAGTGTCATCTGCATAGGTGGTGATGACCTTGTTGGGGTGGGTTGGGATATCAGCTGTATAAACTGTATAAAGGATATGGCCGAGGATGTTCCCTTGAGGAACACCAGCAAAATTTACTTATATTAAACCTGCTTCTGTGGAACAGTTTACCAGTTCCCCAGAAACTCCAAAGTATTTTTAATATGACTCATGATGATAATAAAATAAAAAAAGCACCAGTGGGGTCACAAAAGGGATTCAATGCGAATAAGAGAAAATGTTACACAAAGGATATTTTTGGATGAGGGATTATCATTTCTATAGCTAAAAGACGACTTACCAGTATAAATATTACTAAGCCAATTTTACACAATTATTCTCTCTATATGAACCTAAGCTCTAGTAAGGTAGAAGGAACAATTAAACAATTATACAAACTATGATAAATTTTTAAATGGTTGTGAGGAAATTTTCATGGCTACCTCTCTCCTGGTTGAAACAGAGTTCAGAGATAAAAATAATGTGATATTTATTCTCTGACTACCCTAACATTGTTCAGAGCCATCGGTATACAAAACTACACTTGGTTATTATATTTAGGCAGTGGTGTACCATGGAGATGGAAAGGAGGTAGATGAGAAAAGAGAGGAATGCCCATCTCAGGTGCCAAAGGCTTTTTATTTTTTTATTGGTATGGTAACTTTATTAGAAAAAAAACAACATATATTTTTGTTTTAATTAGACAAATACTTTTTTTTTGTTATAAAAAACTGTAGTTAAAAAAAGAAATATTTTTAATGTAGTTTAACAAATGAATGGTCTAGATTCATGCTGTTGCATTTAGCCAGGTATATTTACCCTGGGCTATTTTGTCAGTCAACTTTGGCCAGTGGCAGTATGTAGAGGGTTGGTAGACAGATCAGCACAGTTAGTTTAATAACATTCTCACTTACTTACTTTTACACTAAATACAGTTTAATGATCAATGATTCTAATTTAATTAATTTTGGAATAGAAAAAATTGTGTTGTAATTAGATGACTAAATATGTGTTAATTGAGTGATTAATTTATTTACAGATAACATAATCTATTACACTTTAGGAAATATAAATACACACACAATACACACAAACTTTATTCTGAGAATAAAATTCTAAAAAAAGAATTACAAAGATTTAGAAAAAATAACAATGGCTCTATTTATTGTTCCTTCTTTAATATGCCTTGATGTCTAAATGTCAACCTTTGATCTTTGAATGTCTTTTATAGAATTACAGAATCTATAATGAGGAGGTATTACAGACTTTGGAAACATATTGAAAGTCTCTATCGTCTATCAAGTGAGGGCAAGGAATTTTTTAATGATGTTAATAGACTTCAGTTGTTTACAAAAAAGGTATTATTATTATTTTTATTATGGGATACAGAATATATCAAATTGAACTTAAATGGAACACTGTTTTTTTTTTTTTTTACAGAAGCTATGTAAATGCAATGGTTTATTAAACAAAAAAATTAATAGCTGAGTCACTTTTTTTCACAGTGAACACTATTAAATATTTTTGGAAATTGAGATAAATATTGTTTTCTATGTAAAACCACACAATGAATCTGATGGTATAATTAATTTTTTAAAATAACAAACCTAAATATTAAAACAAGAGGTTTGAAAATAAGTTTATTTTCAAAAACTGCCTTTTTTAAAAAAAGGTATGTAAGGAGATTTGCTTTTCTTAGATATTGAGAAAAATATTCATCAAAAGCTTTTTAATGGTTTTTTATTCAAATGAAAATTAAAAACAAATTATTTTATTTTATCATTATAATAAACCAAAAGTTAAATATTTATAGTTCGATTTTAATAATTTATTTCCCTGAATCATGTACTATATTTCTCTGCAAAGTGAACCTTAATCAACCTTTCTTTTGTCCTTAAATGGGCATTGAAGTTTTATTCATTCCAAAAGAAGCCCTATTTAAGTTTTTTAATTACTATTACAACAATCAATGATTTTTGGCAATGTGTGCTACAGTAGAATAAATAGAATAGCTGTTTTAAGATGAAACTAAAGAATTTAGTACTTGAAACTATAAGAGAGAGGCACCACTCTCTCACATGACTCTGGGAGAGTTGCAAGAAAGACTGGAGGATCTGGTGTTCATGAAGAAGGATTCCAAATGTTAGAGCTGGTGAGGAAGCTATCAAGTAAGTTTGATGGTGAAGTAAAAGCAGTTCTTCTCATCTTGGAACTGATAAAAAATCTTAAACTGCAAAAGGATGTGGTCCTAATTGAATCACAGGTTAGAATAATTCCTATTTCAGATCCTATCTGCTGTTCCTCAAATCAAATTAATAAGCGCCAGGAATTGATTGAGGAGCTGATTTTAGAACACACAGATATCGTTTTACAGTGGATTACCAGGTAATGGAAAAGCTGAGCAATTAGCAAAAGAAGGTGTCAGAAAAGATCAGCCTGATAGGCAAATTCCTTTTTGATGGTAAAAAAGCTAATTAAAATATTAATCACAGGAGAAGTGAAACAGAAATAATGGTTAGAATTGAAGGACAAGCAATGGGCTTTATAATTTAAAGAAAATAGACGAGTACCAATAGATCTCCCAAGAAGTGCACAGTTGCAAGGCCGTTGCACAGTTTTGAATGAAGACTGGACATGACTATTTTCAAAGCTATCTACCCTGTATTGGAGTTGCCGAATCAGCGACATGCCCACTATGTAGACAAGGCTCCATGACAGCTCTGTCTGCACCTACTGACTTGTCCCTGACTACAGAACGTTAGAACTAAAGATAGGACTGAAGTTGAAGTTTACTGGGCTGCTAGACGCCGCATGGCCAAAACGGCTCAAGTTGATTAAGACAGAACAGAAAAAAAAAAATAGAATAGAAAATATAATTTTTTAGATTTCCTGAAAAATTATCAATGGTGATTAGTGTTCACTTTGTAATTAAACGACTAATTTATAATTTTATCTTCTATAGAATATTTAAAAAGTATAAAAAACCATACAAAAAACTTTTTAAATAGGGACATTCTTTTACTAATTATTTTTATCACAAGTTGTGATAATTGGTTCCAGGTTATTAAAGACAGAAAGCAGCTTTATTTAATTGAAAGGGATTCCAAACCAGGAGATAAAAAAAGTAAGTTTGCCTTAGAAACAGAAAATTCAAATTAAAGTTTATTAACAATATTGATTAAGTCCCCACATCCATCTCCTCCTCCCCCCCCAAAAAAAAAAGAATTGGTATAATATAATCATGAATTATGGAAAAAAAAATTAAAACATTTTCTCTAAAAGAGATAATGAAGAATCTTTATCAACTGCTTCCAGTTCCTGATGCCATGCCCTGATGAAGACCTGCAAGGTGGGTCGAAATGTCGGGGAGACCGCATTATATTTTTTTAAAATGTAGTATTTATTTGACCGCACCCTCCCCTCCCCCACCAACTCCTTCTCGTATTATCTCTAAAAGTATTATTGTTTGTGTAATTATATTTAATAGGACTTCAAGAGTCACTTAAACATCATTTCATATAGGTAGTTAGGATCTTTCTTCTTCCAAAGTAATAATCTTTATATACATAAAAAAAAAAAAAAATTGGGCTGAAGTCCCTTTTTCCATAATTAAATCCTGGATCCGCTAATACTACAACTGTCTTCATTAGTTCACATCAAGGGTTTCCAACCATTTTATAAGGTGTGCAACAACAAAGAGTTCTCCATATTGAGGAATGTTAGAACTGTACTCCCCTCCCCCCCCTTGTTTCCCCTTTTAAGATTATTCCTTTTAAGAACATAGTTAGTAACTATCATTTGTATAAAATATATGTACTAATATAATAATTTTAATATCAATATCAAACATGCTGAATCAAAAATATGAGACCTTGTCTTTTTTTTTAAATGCATAATTAAAAAAATGAAAATGTGGTATGTGCACCTTTGTGCACGTTGGGACCCCTGGTCTTAACCACTTTAGCATGGATGATGTATTGGTATTGATTCTTCAAAACCAAAATTGGCAGCCAGTTCACAGCAATCCTATGTAAATTTCATATTATATTAATGTGATTTATAAGTAACTTATTATTGTTTTAGGTAAGATAAAACCATTCTTGGATTGCCTTATTGAGTTGAATGTTTCTACTCCAGGAGCTATTAGTGAAGATGGAATAGCTGAAGAAGTGGATACTTTCATGTTTGAAGTTAGTAACCCTATATAATCTTAATCAGCAGTATTAACTTTTAGTTAGTACAATTTTATTAGATAGGTAAGTTTAGAAAATAAGCATCTCACTTAGAAATGTTTAATTAATTATCTTAAGGATGTTTAACACATTGGATGTTCTACCTATGATGTGGACTTAGACAATGTTGTGCAGATCTACTGTCCTACTCAGGGACATAAAAAGTGAAATAATATATATGATCCATGCCTTATAGGCATTCTAAATAAATGATAATTAGAATTCTATGTAATTAATAATTTGATCAATATTTTATAAAATGTAAGAACGAAATTGAGAAAACGGAATTATAAATATAACTAAATCATTAGGAATCTTGTTACATGGAGGTGAATTTAGAAGCATACATTCCAGAATAATTTTTTTTAAGGGTTTTTAGTTATGATTTCCTGTTATTCATAATACAGGCATTTCAAATAAGTTACAGCAATTTTTTAAAATTTCAATTGCTTTTCAGGGACATGATACTACTGCATCAGCTTTGAATTCAGCACTGTTTCTTCTTGCAAATAATCCAATTGAGCAGGTGAGATTTTATTTCCTTTTTATTTTTTCATTTACTAACTATTGTACTCCCATGGTAATACTGAAACAAATGATATTTTTTGAATATTTCTGTATATATTGGCTAATGCTATTCCTTCCTTTACCTCAGCCAAAACATTATTTCACAAAGTTCTCATTATTATTCATCATAAGTTTTACTTTTCAGGTGTAATAATATAATTGATATATAGCTTTATCAAAGTCTTTCAACCTTTGATACTGTGGCTTTTGTTAGATCCTGTAATAAGTAGACCTGGCATCAACAAATTGGTGGTAGGTTTGGATCTGGTATTTCCTTTTTCCCTCTGATTCAGATGGAGGATATTTCTCCTGTAGTAGACTTATCAAGCCATACTGATAATTCTTCTTCTGCATGAAACAGCAGTCATTTTTTATATACCAAGATAGAATGTATTTAGCAGTACCCTTTTTACTGTAATATTTTAATTATTCAGTTAAAATTAGAATTTAGAGGCTCTTTAGGAAATTTAATTCAAAAGATAACAAATACTTCTTCTTCTTCTTTGTCTTTTTAGAGTCAAGAAGCCTCTATCCAGCGCAGCCACTCTTTCCGGTCTCTGCTTACCCACTTGGTTGAAAGATTTGCCTCTTCTACCTCCAATCCTCTGCATGAACTCCTGATATGAAACTCTAGGATGCCCTCATGGTCTCTTCCCTGTGGGTCAAGTCTCTAATACCTTTATAGGGTCCATGACCTCGTTCATGCGGCTGACATGTCCAAACCACTTTAGTTGCCTGTTCTCCAAAGTGGTTTTGATTTTAGGCCCTTCAAGCTGTTCTCTTATAGTTTTGTTTTTAATGCGATCCCTGCTAGTTTTTCCCACTGATCTATGTAGGGACCGCATTTCCACTGCTGTTATAAGACTGTAATGTTGGTCCAACATAGTCCAGCTTTCCCCCATCACAGGTAAGAATAGCCAGGTACACTGACTTATAGGTGCGCATCTTGGTCTTTTTATCCACTTCACAGCAGCTGAGGTTACTGCTAGCGATCTGGTAGTATGCTTGATTTGCTTTGGATATTCTATACAAAATCTCAGCATCTATCTTACCAGAGTTAGTAATTACGGTACCTTAGTAGGTGGCATCCTTCACTGTCTCAAGAACTTCTCCGTTGCAAACCAATTAAACGTCTTTCGGTTCTTCTCTCGCCATACTGATCACAATACTCTTGGAGCCATTTATTTGCATACATTTGCTCAGCAGCTCTTCTTCCCTTTCTACCAGTGCTTGCTGTTGTTTCATCTTTGAATCAGCGATAAGGACAATGTCATCTGCATATAAAAGCTCTGTACGAGGACTGTTCTCATATTCCAGTTTCCAATTGCAGTCCATGCAGTCCGACGCTTGCAGATTTTATGGATCTCGTCCATAAAGTTTATAAACAGGAGGGCGCTTAAACTATCTCTGTCTGACTCCTCTCACAATTGGGAAAGGTTCTGATTCTGCGCTATTTATCTATACTACTCCAGTGGCCCCCTGGTAGATTGATTTCATTCACGGCCTCAATCAAAACTCTTATTTTTTGATTGTTGTAAAATTTGTGGTTTGCACTGCAAGAAGCAGTTGGGAGACTGAAGAATATATGCAGCTCTTCCAACTGCTTCTGGTAGTGCCAGGTGGAACGCCTTGAACAAGATACACAAAATAGGTCGAAACTTTGGAAAATACGAAAAAAAAAATACTATTATATGATATAATATTATATATTGACCTCACCCCTGACCAACTTCTGCTCCGACACAAATAGAATAATTTGATACCGAAAAGATGCAGAAAAGTTTTCTTTTCCTGTAACTAACAATAGTTTGCCATCTGTTGGATGATATAGTACAGGGCTGATGGCTTAATTACTTATTTAGAGACTGATGACTTCCTAACTGTATTCTGTTATAATAATATTTTTATATGAGCACGATAAATGTTTTAGGAAAAAGCGGCAGAAGAACAAATGGAAATTTTTGGTGATGACAACAGAGTACCTTCAACACATGACCTTAATAAAATGGAATATTTAGACATGGTAATAAAAGAGGTATTACGACTTTATCCCAGTGTTCCAATAATAACACGATCTTTGACTGAAGATCTCAAAATAAGTAAATATTTCTAATTAAATAGTTTTCATTACCGATGATATCATAAATATTAATATATTTGTATTGTTTGATAATTTCAGATGAAAGCATAACTGTCCCAGCAGGATGTATCGCAGCTATTATGCCCTATTTCGTTCATCGATCAGCGAAGCATTGGGATAATCCTGAAGAATTCAGACCTGAACGTTTTGATACTGGAATTTCTCGACATCCTTTTTCTTTTATTCCTTTTTCAGCTGGGCCAAGGAATTGTATAGGTATAAAATCATTAAAATTAATTTTATTTCATTCATGCTCTAAAATTTTTAATAAACTTTTAGAGCTCTGTACAACCATTTATTCTCATTAACGCATCCTAATGTCTCATGACTATTATTAAAACCTATTCAGATATAATAATTCTGGGATAATGTATTATTAAAAAAATAAAATGAAAATTATTATTCAAGATGAAACTTATTAGTTCAACAATTTTGAATTTCAGGACAAAAATTTGCAATGATGGAAATGAAAACAATGCTCTCAGCAATATTGAGAAAGTGTAAATTGGAACCAGTAACAACTTCATTTGAAATCATACCTACAGTTGTACTTAAGAGTGATCAACCAATACTAATTAAAGTCCTACCACGAAAATAATTAGTTAATATAATTCTTTGTCTTTCATTTTTATACGTTCTAGATAGCTATTATTATTTAAAAACAAATGTATATTTTAATAAAATAAAATTATGGAAATTGATAGCTTTATATGTTTATCCTTTTTTCACTTATGTTTTTACTTATATTTTTCAACTACTTCCTTTTCACTCTATTATTAACCACCTCTCTTTACTGTTATCTTTTGGTAAGCAACAGTGATATAGAACATACCTAGATCCAGTTTTTTTAAAGTCTAATTTTAGAATAAAACATATGCTTCATATATTATATAGGTGGGATGTTTAGTAATAAAACTCTTTCTTTCTTGAAAGTTTTATTTTGTCAACTATCTCACAACAATAAATTCAATTTGGGAGGTTTCAGCCCAAAAGATTTTTTTTTTTCTATGTATGTATTAGGATGATTACTTCGGAAGAAAGAAAGAAACTACCTATATGAAATGATGTTTGAGTGATTCTTGAAGTCCTATTAAATGTAATTAGATGAACAGTAATACTTTTAGAGATAATTTTTATCACAAAACATGGTTATATTTTACAATTATGGAGTGGCTTCAGCCAAAAAGCTCTTCGCCCACCTCCCGTAGATCCGCCTCTGCTGTGCAACGTCGACTTCGTGATTATGATTTAAAATGTTTATTGATTATGTTTAAAATATTTAAAATTTTTATCACAAAACATGGTTATATTTTACAATTATGGGGGGGCTTCAGCCAAAAAGCTCTCCCCCCCCACCTCCCGTGATCCGCCTGTGCTGTGCAACGTCGACTTCGTGATTATGGTTTAAAATGTAGCTACTAAAACTCCTATTAAGAAAACAAAATAAGCAAACGATTAGAATGATTCAAAAAACATGGTAATAGGTCTGTAGAATAGTGGTCGAAAGTGTTTTCCGCTGACGAATCAAGATTTAATATTCTTAGAAGTAAATGAAAGCAGTAGTTGACAAATCAATGATAATACCAACCGTAAAGCAAGGTGGAGGATAAGTTATGGTTTGGGATTTTTTTGCCGACTACAAAGTTGGAGATCTCGTCTGAATAGAGGAAATTATGACAAAAAAAAAAAACAAACAAACAAACAATATCACGGAATTTCGCAGCATCACGGTTTTCCGTGGATAGAGAATAGTGGGCACTAGTGGATCCAAAATTTAGTTTTTAGGGGAGGGGACTTCAGCCTGATAGATTTTTAAAAAATATATATAACGATAATTACTTACGAAGAAAAAAGAAAGGAACTAACTACCTATATGAAATAGAGTTTAAGTGATTCTTTAAGTACTATTAAATGTATTTACACGAACAATAATACTTTTAGAGGTTATTATTAAATATTGTTTTCATAAGATATGGTTATATTTTACCATTTTGGGTGAGGAGGGGGCTTTAGTCCGAAAGCCATATGCCCCTATTGTAGATCCGCCTATGATTGTGGTGGTATTTGTTTTCCAGCAGGATAATGTTCCAAAACATTCTTTCAAATTCTCCGGAAACTTCATTGAATCAAAAGAAAAGCAAAAAGTACCTAAATACAGTTCATGTCTACCTCATTCCTGTTTAACTATTGTGAGATGAGCTGGAGAGAAACGTCGGAAGATAAAATGTACCAATGAAAACTAAATTTCTCCAATAGAACATTGAAGAATCAATAGAAAGAATCCCAAAAATATGCAATGCTCTCATAAAGGCAAAAGGGAGATATTTCGAAGAATAAGAAAATTAGACATTATTCATAATTTTTAAATAAAACTATAGTTGTTATGTAATAATTGTAATAGTATTTGTAGTATACTTTTATGTAGTAATAGTACTAGTAAAGCATCAAAATAAAGCTGATTTGTTATTATTTGAACATTGTTATATTGTTATATATATATAAATTTTTTATAGTTTTAGATAGTCATCGAGTCAATGATTTATTGCCATAGTTCAAACTTTAAAGGTCAGAAACCGCTGGAAATGGTACACAAAGCGCCTTAATATGCCATACTGTGCGGAGAATTGAACTCACTGCCTGGAACGATTAAATAAAGACAAAAATATGTAATATACTCAATTTCTTTATTAACATATTTTTAAATATATAAAGATATACATATTTTCAAATATATAAAGATATACATTTATTTTTATATATAGTATTATATTGTTCGTTTTACAATCATTATATAGACTGTCTCTCATAATTTGTAAACATAATATAAACTCCCGAGTTTGTCTGGGAGGATCCATCGCTCTATCCCCAACCAAAAAGAAAATTCTGCGTCTATGTATACATTTGTAACTATTCAAAACTTTTTTTCTACTCAGGTTAATAGGTAATTATGGCAGAAATTGTAAGGGATGGCTAGGAATAGAAGTGCACTTTTATTCGGAGGCTCATATATTTCCTCAAATCGATCTTCAGCAAAGTTAGGAAAATTGTCTACGATATGGTACAGGGCGTCCAATTTCTGATATATAACGACATACATTTGTTTATATTATATTTATTTTTTCCCGCGGAAAAGATTATTTATTACAGATGATCTTTTCTTCCTATACGGCTCAGGGAGTCATTTTATAGATTGGAACGCAACGCGATAAGACACACTATAACATAATTGTGATACCACTACATACCATACATGACTTTTTTTCACCATATATGGACCTTATCTGTTACGCTCTCAAGGTCTCTTATGCTATGTATTGTAAAGACCGTCGGTGGAATAATTAGTTTAAAGGTATAAACAAATAAACATTAAGGTAATTTAGGTATTACCTAAATATAAACATATTTAGGTATAAACCCAACATCTGGCGGTTGGGTACCTGACTGAGGGTAACCCATTAGGACAACCTTTTGTAAGTGGTAATAAAAACCCTTAAGGACCACCGACAAAGACCGACAACTAAGTGTTTAAAAAGGATCCCGAAAGACCTTTTCACACCTTCCACCAGAAATATGGAAATCTGTACCTGCTGCTTTACCTTGGCCTGGGGGAGAGGGCGTGGTCATCCCTTCTGTTACAAAAATTGAACCAATGGGAACAATTCTTGCCCCTACAAAAGAGAGGGGATGAAAAAAGGTGGAAGATATAGAACTTGGACGAAGACACTTCTTTTTGGAACTCGGAGGAGAGAGGACTTTTTCTTGGAACGGCGCTGAGAGGACTTCTTCTTTATGGGACTCAGCTGAGGACAGCTGGATGAGGAGAGGCTGATAGAAGAGAGCCTGATGGACTGCCCGGCACTGAGGAGGTCCCTGATGTTTTCTTCCAACTTGGAGACTGAAGCCTTGGCCCTACCTGATCCATGTCCAGATGATCTCGACTTATTAGATAAGTAATCCCCAACAATTCCTTTTTAAAGATGTATAAATATTTAATGGCAACGTAATTTTCAATCCCATCCATCTGAATCATGCCTTCACAATCAATTGTATAGTTCATTAGTTTTTGTACATATAATGTATATAACATTCTTTCTCATCACTTGTAAATAAATATAATTTGTACATAAAAGTTATTTTAATCATGCCACCTATTTCTTTCATTATAAGCACAGGTAATGTTTGGTAATTAGTGAACAGATAAACACACAACAAGCCTTTGTGAGAAGTAATCCAATAGATGAATCAAGGACCAATATGTCAAATGACATAATTTGTTTAACTAATATTTTTATTAATTAATTCTGGATAATTATCTTCAATAATTACCAGTGGCATCCCGTTATCAAAATCTACTAATCAAAAACCATTTGATACGTAGCATTTTATGGCATCCAGCTTGTGGGCACTTACTATTCTGTTTTCTAATTACTAACCATTAATCATTTATTATTAATTGTTTTGTACTTGTATGTGGCATATTAAAATAATTACATAACATGATTCAGATGGATTGATTTATTTGTATAGTTTATCTTTTTTAACTTTATTGGACATTAAAATAGTTGCATCTAGTTGGTTATTCTTATAACTTCATTTTTAAAGTTTAATGTGTCGGTTTCTTTGCGAAGAATTGATTAAATAGTTAATTCGGTTTATTATTATAAATCTTAAATTTTTTTGGGTACATATTCGCTAATACACTTCGCGATGGATCTATTAAAATCACTATCGGCCACAAATGAGGCAACAGTTATGGAATCACAGTCACCCTTAACTGAGAGGATCAAAGCCATAATGGATGATCATTTTAAGAAATTCCAAGTGGAAATTAGGGAAATCTTTGGTAGATTAGAAAAGAGAGCAGAAGATGTGACAGACGACTTATGTAGAAACATGGATGACTGGGCTGCGAGTATAAGAGAAGATACGAGCCAAACTAAGAAAAATATCCATAATAATGATAAAGAAGAAACAACTGATGCACAACGGAAGTCCATGAAAGAAGATAAAGTTAACGACATTGAAGTACAAATAAATACAAAGGCTAATTGCCCAGTTGAAATGATTGAGATCTCAAATATAGATGACCCATCTACTTCCCAAGACGAACATATAGAACTGTTTTTTCAAGAGACAGCTTCTGAAGAGATTGAACTCCTAGACGAAATAGAGGAACATCAGAAAAAAGAATCCTATTTCGAAGATTCTGCAAAAGAAGTGAGACAAGAAGAAAATCATAGGGAAAATGAAACCCATCAGATTCAAACCTATAAAGGTATGCGGGTAAACATTTTAGGTTCAAATAATACTATATCAGCAGAGCAACCTACGGTAGTTTTAACACCAATAGCTAAAATGAGAACATTTATTCGGATTAAAGAATTAGGCAAATTAAAACGTCGGAAAAATTCGAGGGTAAAATGTTTCCTTTCAAAAATGAAAATGATTCCTGTGGAGCCAGAAAGCTACCTCAGGGGGAAGGTAAGAAAAAGGAATCAATTTTAATTACCGGTTGATCATTTGGCATTAAAAAAAACAATAGAAAACGGACAATGGATATATATAGACGGAATTTTAAAGTAATAAAAGAGACCAAATACTACTTAAAAAGAATAACCAAAATTCATGACAAAACTATCATATTCTTTAATAAGAATAATTTTTACTATGATTGAAAAGTTATAATGACTTGCCATAAAATATTTTATG